AATTGGTGTGAAGATAAAGAAATTTGGAGCTAAAACGAATTAAATATGAAAGATTGAAAAAGGAAATCAAGCAGACAACTTAATAAATTAAATTGAATAAAATAATATATAATATATACGAAGTGCACTTGAGCAAATTAAGAAGTTGAATGGGCGTAGAAGTGTGCCACATGGCAACACTTGAAGAAGTGCAAAATTGTGCGGCGGTTGACGAAGCAGTGTTTCAAACGGAATCAAATTCCGTTTGGTTTTGGATTCTCAATTGATTTTGGACTCAATTATTTTCATTAGAATTTTCTACATCTATAAATAGTTCATAAGAATAATTATTAAGGGAAGAGGAGCATAGAATGTAAAATTTAACTTTTGATTTAAGTTTCATCTTTTCTTTTCTTTTATTTATTTTACATCTTTTCTTTGAATGATGGTTTTAATTGCTCTATATCTATGTGGAGTTAAACTTCTTGTTATTGATTATATTTACTTACAATATGATTGTTTAGTGATTTTGATTCGGCATGATTTGTTTATCATATTAGTTGTTCTTATATTCTTGTGATTACTATTTGGATGCTTGATCACCATTGAAATAAACATATTGTCTAAATTGAACTCGGGAGAGGAATAAGAGGATAGAACATGGAATAAAAGGAACATGATTTTCTCTTAATAATTACGGTTAATTTGTATCTAGGATAGGGATATACCTAGAAACAATACTTGGTCACTATACAGGAAGAAATCGTAATGCTCGGTACTTGGTCCAACCTATCCCCGCTCAATGATGTAGTTAGGTTGTCATTTATCATAGGCGATTAGAGGTCGGGAGACCATTATCATACATTTAACCATGTGAATCAATAACTAGATAATCAAATAAGTTGATGAAATTGATGCTAAACATGATTGTTAGTTAAATTATAATCCTAGATTGATTGATTCATTGTTTGTGTAAACATCTATCTTTTCTTAGTTAATTGCTTTTTAGTTATTTTATCTTTATTTTTAGTTTAGTTAATATTTTCATATTTTTAAATCCTCCCCATAAATAAATAATTAGAATTAATATAATTTAGTAAGAATAATTAATTGACAATTCCTTTGGGTTTGATAATCCGATTCTTTTAAGAGCCACTATATTACTTGTGCGACCACGCACAGTTGCGTGTGCAATTGGAAGCAACATATGTCATATAGGTATGTTCAGTCTACGTCAGCACACTCAAAGTAAATAATTAGTAGACAATGTGCCGCTTTAGCTAGTGGCTTGAGACAAAAAATAAAGAAAGATCATTCATATGAAATTAAACATCTTTTTCAACTAGATGAGAAAATAAAGAAGTATTGAGAGTAAAAGATAATGGATACCGTTTTCGAACACCGTATATCCATTACAACTCATGGTTTACTGAGGATTTGGAGATGTCATTGCTTGTTTTTTGCATGGCGAACTCCGATAATCTCTACAGCGAGCTAGATGGCTTGACAATAATCCAATTGTAACGAGGTGGATGCTCGATAGTAGTCCAACTGTAACAAGGTGAATGCTCGATAATAATCCAACTGTAATGAGGTGTGGGTCGAAAAAATTCCAACTGTAACGAGGTGGATGACTCGATAATATTCCAACTGTAATGAGGTGGATGGCTCGATAATATTTCAACTATAACGAGGTAGATGACTTGATAATATTCCAACTGTAACGAGGTGGATGCTTGATAATATTCCAACTGTAATGAGGTGGATGACTCGATAATATTCTAACTGTAATGAGGTAGATGGCTCGATAATCTTCCAACTGTAACGAAGTGGATGGCTTGATAATATTCCAACTGTAACGAGGTTGATGGCTCGATAATATTCCAACTGTAACGAGGTGGATGCTCGGTAATAATTCCAACTGTAACGAGATGGATGACTCGATAATATTCTAACTGTAACGACGTAGATGGCTCGATAATATTCCAACTGTAACGAGGTGGATGGCTCGATAATATTTCAACTATAACGAGGTGCATGGCTCGATAATATTTCAACTGTAATGAGGTGGATGCTCGATAATATTTCAACTGTAACGAGGTGGAGGCTCGATAATATTCCAACTGTAACAAGGTGGAGGCTTGATAATAGTCTAACATAGTTCAAAATAGGAACTTGAAATGGACAAACAAATATACGAACCACTTATGGGCCCCAACAAAACTATATACTAAAGTCTTTGATTAGCCAATCAAAACACATAATCCACTTATGGGGTGGATATCCAACAAATTTTAAAATCTTGACCCTTACATTCACTACAAAAAAAAAGTGTTTAGCGACGCACGCAATTCGTTGCTAATATACATATATTCGTTGCTAAATTGGATTAGCGACGGCTTAGTGACGAAATTATGTTTGTTACTATTTTGCTCGTTGCTAGCCTCTTAGCGACCCAAAAAATTTTGTTGCTAATTTAGCGACGTCTCGGCGACAAATCCAATCTGTTGCTATTTTAGTAGCGATAAATTATGCATCACTATGTTTATATTGTCATTGCTAATTTTATAATTTCATTTCGTTGTTTGAATGACTTAGCAACAAAATTGTTTGTCGCTATTCCGTCACAACATATTTTTTGAATAACTTCGCGATAATATATTTTGGCGCAAATCCGTCGCCAAAGCTCCTCTATAACTACAATTTAAATCGTCGCTAAATATGTCACTAACAATTTTTTTGTATTTTTTATTTATTTATTTTGAATATACCTTATTGAAAAATATTAAATGCAAATTATTAAATACCCATCAAATAACCAACATTCGTATAGAATAATACTTATCGAATCTGACAACAAAATTTAAATCAAAAACATCCATAAGTATCCATCAACAATTCTTAAATCAAAAGCACCCACATCCATCAAGTATGGATACACAATTTGTACTTGCAAAAATAGACAATATCAAAATCTAATGCAAGCTTGGTCAAGGGCTACGATCAGCATCTGAAACTAAAGGATCATCCTCCTCAACATTAATACTAGCAGGACGAACTACATGTGTAACACTTGATGGATTATCAATAGGTGGTGAAGAAATCACTTCATGTATCCGCTCAAGAACTACGGAAAGAATGTGTTCAATGAGTGTAGGAATCAATTGTGTCACAAACTCAGACATATTGGTTGTTGCTGGTTGAGAAACCGATGGTGGTACTTATCCAGAAGAGACAAAAGAAATTGACTCATAGTAATTTTTTTCTTCAGATCCAAGATCATATATTCTTTTCTTTTTTGCTCCTCCCGCGGCTTGGTAATATGCTTCAGATTGATCAATATCTATCTGAGACTCTATTTTTTCTCGTAATATTTCTTCATATCTTTCTTGTAATAAATAGTAAAATTATACATATTGTATCAAAAGTTGACAGGAAATTTGAAACAAAAAAAATTATCTTTACATAAGCAGCAACACAGAACTGCATCTGTTTCCTAAATTCTGGGCAGTGTTACATCCTAAATTCTAGGAAGTGTGACATCCTAAATTCTGGGCAGTAGCAGCAGCTAGCTAGGTAGAAAAAACAAATACTTTACATAAACAGCAATACAGAACTTCCTTCATCAGTTTCCTTTAACCATTGAATTGATATGTTTATCTGAGGATCTAATTCACATTCATATGTTTACGTGAGGCTTGTTTTTCAATTTAGGTTATTACACACATGCCAAAGTAGATTATTTTGAATCTGCATGTCATAAATAAAATCTATCATCACTCAAAAGTGTGTTCAATTCTCTGCCATACGTAGTCAGGAATAATCACTCTAGCTCACCATTCAAAAATAGAAAAAAACAACTATCTGTGGGAGTACATTTAAGTTGATCAGAATTTGGTGTTTTAAGACTTAACATAATTGCAGAGTACAACATCAGAAGACTGTAAAAAAGGATCATTATCATTAAGGAAAAAGAACAATGTTCTGCTCTTGTCAATACAATTAAATTCAGAAAATGCTATATGCCCTTAACCAACTACAATGTATGTCTAATGGCAGAAACCAAAGCTTATTTTCATTAATTTGAAAAGTCTGTACAATGCTCTTCTCTGTACAATGCTCTGAAGTTTGAAGAGACTGATCTATTTGGTATGCTTTAATACCCCTGATCGATTGACCTAACAAAAATCAAAAGAAATTTGGAGGTCGAGACATAGACAGTTTACTAGCAGTCAATTACATTTTATGAATCAGTCCAGGCCGAATGGCAATATCACTACAACAAAAAGGGGATTTAGTGGCAATTAGAAATGGTATTAGCGGCCATAACAATGGTCGTTGTAGCCTTTATCAGCCAATGCACTTTGGCCGCTGTATCGGGGGTCGCCAAAGGCTTTTGCGGCCATTCGGATAAGTGCTGGTAAATCTAAGCTCAATTGCCGCTAAAACTCATTCAATTTTACGGCAATTGGTTGCGGCAATTAAGATGGCAGCTAAATCCAATCCAAAGCGGTTAGTTATGCTCATGTAGCGGCCATTATAATAGTCGGTAAATCCAACTAAATTGTCGCTAAAAGTAATTCATTTTAGCGGCAATTGGTTACGTTAATTAATATGGTTGCTTAATCGAATCTAAAACAATTAGTTATTCTCATGTAACGTCCATTTTTATAGCCGGTAAATTTAACTAAATTTCCGCTAAAATGCATTAGTTTTAGCGGCAATTAAAATAACGTCCAATTTTTATGGCTAGTAAATTCACTTAGCTTGACGCTATAAGTCACAATCTTTAATGACCGGTTGCTTATTAATAATTGCATCCATTCATAAAGTTATCTAATTTGCATATCTAATGAAGTTTATAACTAGAAATCCAACAAAAGTTTTATTAAAAGGGAGCTTGTTACAGGCAACAAGTTTATCAAATGCTAAAAAAATATTAATTCATAAAACATAATATATATGATAAAATCTAATCAAACAAAAGAAAGTAATAGTCCAAACAACTTTAGTATCACAACTTCAAAAATAAACTTATATTATTTGAAAAAAATAACTAATATCACTACATAACCAATCCAATAAAAACAATGTCTTCAAAGAATTTCCACAATTGAACGTCATATTGGAATATTCCATCAACAAAAATTTCAAATATAAGAGTGTATGACCTGAAATAATAAAATAAATGCGTCAAAGATGAAATGTGTTTGGATAAAAACATCACGAGCTAGGAGTTATATCATATATCATAACCATGTGATATAACTCAAAGATTCATAGCCATTTAAATCTCCTATGAAAATTCTAATACCAAATTCATACATGTCTTTATGAAAGTAGGGAAGGCCAAAAACAAGGTATACAAAATCAGTAGTGAGTTTGGAGACATGTTTATAGATCCACTACAGATACAATAGGAATTTCTGAAGTTCTTCAAAGTCTTTCTAGAAACTAGAAAATCACTAGAAGTGAGCTTGGAGACATGTTAAAAAATTACTATATATACATTAGTAATTTAATGATGTACATATCAGTAGTGAGCTTGGAGACCAATTAACAGATCCACTACATATACAATAAGAATTTATGAAGTTCTTCAAAGGCTTTCTGGGAACTGGGAAATCACTACAAGTGAGCTTCAACATCTTAACACATCTACTATAGATACATTAGGAATTTCATAATGTACAGATCCGTTGCAGCAGTTCTTTGTTTTGTTAGACAAGTAACAGAGTTGCAATAGCTTGAAGAAGTTAGCAGGTATCTCACAACATAGAGATTAGATGTACAGAAAACCAAATGCCTATAAGCTAGCAAATTGAGCAATCAGGAATAAGTTTAGCTCGAGTTGAGACATAACTAAAGAACTATGACAGGTGAGACCATCGAACCTTGAAAAAATAGTTTGTTCGACATGAAAAAATGAAAAGTGGATCCCTTTGCAGGGTGAGGAAGGTGAATGAAAACCATTCTTTTGGGGATGCTCTTTGACTAGAGAAGGAACTAACAGAATGTGAATTGGTACTTCTATATGCAACCAGATGGAAGTATCCTAGGAGTTTGTTATGTGTTTTGCTTGGTGATCTTGTTTTTCCAATCAAAGGTTTTTCTTGAACAATTGCAGAAACAAATGACTAATTTTTAAATTTCTTGCAGCTATCTACTTCACATCATTGGATGTGGTATGAGATAGAACATGAATTCAAGGGATACGAGTAAACCTTCATTCTCTCAGGTCACGGAAAATACTCGAAATTTTCTAAAACTAATGTAAAAGGCTAACTTCCTATCCTCCTTTAACTATGAATGATGCTCTTTTCTAAATGTGCCCCAAGAAATCAAAGAAGTAAGTGTGTGCAATTATAGTATAGAGGAGCATTCTTGACGATGTAATTATAGAAGCATGATTTAACTACATGCACCATCTACTTATATCCAAGGTTAATTGTATGTATTCTTAAACTATATTTTGCTTCTTAGTTGATTCTTTGTATCAATAACAACTAATATATCTTGCCCATAATATAACAATGCTGATGAATTCGGGATAAAACTCGAGGGATGGAAATTTATCAACATGAGTTATCTCAATTGAAAAATGCAGAATCAATGGTATACAAATCATCGAATGTAGGGGATGAGGTGAATAAGGAATAGTTTCAGTAATCAGACAACCAACTAACATGATCTCAACTATACAAACAGAACCTATAATAATACTAACTACACTTCAGGGGTATCCTTGTATAGTATCAAGAGATGAATATGGGATGAAATTCAAGGCTGGCAAGGCATCAACAAGAGTTATCTCAATTGAAAAATGTAAAATCAATGATATACAGATCATCTAAAGACAAAGAAAGCAGGGGATGAGCTAATAAACCATATAAACTTTTCATGAAACAAGTCTGAGCAACTGAGTTAATTCTAAATCTCTAATTCAAAAGAATTTTCTTTCTTAAACTATAATTAACTTTTTATTGAATTTTAAACCTTACAACCAATTTCTTCTAACACTCAGTTCACAGTACTTTATTGAATTTTAACACTCACTTATAGTCTCAAGAATGTAACGTAGGTCACAGGTTCTTTCCAACCACTCCATCGAGAAGAATAGATTAAAAAAATTGAGTAAATGACAGACTACAAGTTTAAAAAAACTGTAGCAGCAAGGTCACAACACAAAAACAGAGAAAGAATGTCACAACAAGAGAAGTGAAACAAAAGTAAATGTTTGGAAAGAAGCCACGAAATATTTTTATGAAATCTCAAAAAGGAACTAACTGCCAACCTTGTTGTAGCAGAGAAACGATCTTTGACTTACTTCAGGGATTGAAGCTCTCGCCTTTTCACCATAGCCTCGCCTCATTGCAAAAAAGCAATATAGAATTCTCTTTGTTTCTCACTTTAAGTGACGAAGCACTCCCATTTAATAACACTACTTCATAGAAATCCCGAAACAATAATAGCAACTACATGTAACTATAGCTAACTGCCATGAAAACTTTTCTTAAAACAAGTTGAAACAACCTAATTGTATTCTAAACTTTCAACACAACTTGAATCTAGTTTCCATTCTTCAACCACAATGAATTTTTTTTTATTGAGTTTATTAGTTTCAAGAATGTAACTCAAAAATTTAATTCCTTCTCTTCTTTAATTTTTGACAACTTCTAATAAAATTAAGCAATGCACAATGTTATTTTCAAATTACCTACTGCACAAATTATAGAGTTGTAAAAACAGTACTATCTTAGACTGAATATTGAAGTCTCGTCAACTCGACTTGGTTTCAAGTTCTTCAACAATTCATCCTCAACTTGAAAATAAGGAAAAGTGCTCTGTTTCTAAACTTAGAGGAAAAAACTTAAATATTGAACATTCCCTTTTAAATACATCTCAAAATCGAAAAGAAATTTAGTTCTTATATAATGGCATCATGTCACACCCCGAAATAGGGGGCGTAACTGGCACTCGATACCCTAATACATGGAGTTACCCACTGAAACATACTAGCTAAACCAAACTTGCGAGGCAAAAAGATTGGACAACACAACCTCTAAAAAGTGAAGCCTAGACCCAGAGGTCATGACTTGAAAGAGAATAACCATACAAACAATGGTAGACAAACTGAAAATAAAAATAAAAATAAAGATGTACTATCTAGCCGACGAGG